CTTTATTTGCTAACTTCGAGCGCGCATGACCTTGCTAAATAAATAGAAATGCTCAGTTTAACTCGCCATCATTTATATTAATTTAGTTGAGGAAATTGTTTTTATCTTACCTAATGGATATTGTTAGGTTTACACACGGCAGCGAAAGGCAACAGTAGGCAGTGGTGTGATTTATGTTGCTAGAATGTTTTACAGAATTAATCGCTGTACATCATTGTGTACATTGATTAATTCTGTATATATGTATGAGTATAATATTATAGAAATAAAAAACGTAATAATGAAGCAATGTGTTTGTGATACACTGTTCATTACAAAGGTTGATTGGTAGAGAATACTACTAACATTAAGTCCACCTTTTGTACTATATTTTATTTTGGTCAATAAAGTTATTTAAATAAATAAATATATAAGTAGTATCAAATTAATAACTCTTATTTTTTATTTACCTTTTTACACTATTAACTATATTGATAATGTTATTGACTCATATATAAGTACATTATAAGCTTTATTTTTTAATTTATATAAATTTTTATTCGATGTCTATGTACATGCACACATGTCTATAGATTTCCGGATGAAGTCGTAACAATTGTCAGAAACGACAAAAACACAGTGAGTTCATTAATTTCCCGTGTCCAGTTTATAGGCTAATATAATATATATTTTTTTTAACTTTAATTTACTGTGTGAATATATGTGTGTACATTTTGTAGAATTAACATGGGATGGTGTTCTCTACCATACGAGTATACATATGTATATTAAAAAATAATATATGATTTATTTATTTATTTAAATTTTATTCAGTAAATAAATGTGGTATTAAAGGTGTACTTAATGTATATTAATAATATTTGAATAGTTGTGATTGTTGGCACTCGATGAAATTTTTCATACTGATTAAATCTACAACAGGAGGCTGACCGCTTGGCGAAATTAGCAGTAACGCAGGGTTCGGAAATTAATATATTACCAACATATATGGAAACTTTGTTTAAATTTAAAAAATATTGTTACAAAATGTTTAGAGAATATTTTGACAAATGGAGTAAAGAAAAAGGAATTTGGTATAAAACAATCCAGTCTCAGCCTCCAAAAATACCGTGGTTCATAAACCTAAAAGCAAATAGAAATTTCGTTGTTACAACTATTAGATTACGCTCAGGACATTATCCAAATGCAAAATTCGCTTTTCTTATGAAAAAAGATAATAATCCGAATTGTGATATTTGTAACACATTGGATGATGTTCATCATATGATATCTGAATGTACGAAATACAAAACACAAAGGCAAGTATTGATACAGAAATATAGTCTCAATTTGACAGGAGATTGGATTATTTTCAAATATACTCGCAGAACCACATTCCGGAATGGCAAAATCTTTAATTACTATATTTTTGTATCAATAATTCCCTTTATGAAAATAGACTACCAAGATATTATGTATTATTTATTTATGTATCAATGTTTTAAGTATGTCACGTATTTTATAAAATTAGGATATGATGAGGCTGACATATCCTTATAGGATAAAAGCCTCTAAATAAAAAAGATTAAAAAAAAATCTACATCGCTTTTTTTTACTTTTTCCTTAACTTGTAATTCTTTTGACATAATATTATATACAGGTATATGATTATTTTATATAACTTTAGCCATTATTCTTATACAGTATATAAAAAATATACCAAAAATCTTATATGTTTGACATATGGAGGGAAGAGGTAAGGAAAACCTATACTCTATGTATGAAAAAGTGTCCGTCAAAAGATGTCAAATTAGCGTGGCGCTACTGTAGCAGGTAAGTAAATTTTAAAGGAAATAAGCAAGGGAAGCAAAACTGGAAAAAGACCACCATTGTACTCATTCTTTTCTTAAGAACTCTGTATCCTATAATTTAAAACTTTACTGTACAATAAACTTCCGTTTTTTAATAGCGCATTTTCAAAAGAAAATTTAAAATAGAAAAATAATAATTTAAGTGCGCCTGTGTACATTTTTGTTATAACCTAACATCTATATTATAAATGATTGTACACAAGCGTATAAATTATGTGGTTTGCCTATGTTGTAAATAGTATAAACACATAAATACAAAGACTTCACGTTTTTGGGGTCTGTGAACAGAGATTTTTTTTATGCAACTTAGTATGGCAAACAAGCTGACGGCTCACTTGATGGAAAGTGGTTACCGTCGCTTATAGACATGAACAGTACCATGAGCATAATAGACAATAATTTAAATAGTATATTTATTTATTTATTTATTTACACTTTATTGCACCATTTATAAAATAAATACATTTAACTGTAATAAGAAATGATACAAAAGGCGGCAATCGCTTCCAGACAACCTTTGGGTAGAGGATATTGAGAAAAGAAAGAAAAACAAAAGGGTAGGTGGCGCACTATTATATATAAACAAATATATACAAAGATACATATACATGTACACATATACATGTACACATATACATACACACACATATATACATATATATACACACATACACATACATAAATATACACAAACTTAAAAGCACACATACAACAAGAGAGAGTGACATTAGAAGATGGAGATAGAACATGGGGAAATAGTACTTAAAGGGAGAGATAATGGGATTTAACAGAGGTTTTGAAGATAGCGAGAGATTGAGCGCACCGAATAGAGGTAGGTAGTGAGTTCCATAAGCGAACTGCCTGCACAGTAAAGGAATTAGAATAAAAGGAAGTGGAGTGAGTGGGAAATTTGAGACGGAGGTTGTTGACACTGCGTGAAGTTTGGCCATTGGCCTCACTAGTATATGATTAGGTCATAAAAGTCTGTATAGATAGATAGACTTATATTCAGAACTAATATTACAGCAGACACGATATAAAAAGAACCTTAGCATTACCAATTCAATTTAGCGTAAACGTTACGGGTCAGTGAACAAGAAATCTCTTAACTCACTTCGTCTAGAAACTTTCTTTTGTGTATTTAGGTTTTAAGATCGTTTAATAGTTATTTGACACTTATATAAAAGTTTATATATATAACGCCTCTGGTTATAATACCTTACTAAATACAAATGACGGACAATTTGTCCGGGCAAAATTCTCTTTACGAATATGTATTTTCTGCGGTAAAGTCCTAGATAGGAGGGCAAGGGACTGTTGGAAAAGGAAACAAGCAATATACTCTGTCAGATCAATCTCTTTGGTACTCCCTCGAAACCATTGTAGTTAATTCTAGATCAACCCATTATAATAATCCAACAGACATACTTCTATTCTCGCCTTCATAGTGCCCCGACGTAAACCGTTACCGTTCCATTTATATCCCATGAATTGCTCTATATTTATTATAACTCGACTAGAAAATTTACGTAGAAGGCTCTGTCGTCGAACTTTACATACCTGAAAAGATAAAGCATTGTCTATATTTATGTCTATATACGACGATTATCACTTTCCACCAGGAGAACCGTCAGCTTGTTTGCAATTCTAAGTAATTCAAATCATAAGAAGGCAGGCCAGACAAACATTTTGACGGCAGACACTATCTCCCTCCTTTTGTGATAGTTAATAAAGACGTTTTAGGTTAAGATCTCGCTGATTTCTTCCATAGGGTTGACAGAAAGCAACCCTATACTCGTATTTTGACTCACTGAGAGCAGGCAACCTGAGTGTATTGTATTATATTTTCGCCATTTTTTTATCAACCATTTTTATCAGAGGGAGACTGCACAAAAGTCATTTGCTTATGTACCTCTGTCCCATTCGTGTTTCAACCGTGAAGCAGTTGTGTTTGCATGGCTGTAATGGCGAATTGAGTATTACTTTTTTTTTGAAGTCGGTTGAAAATATAACAATACTTTAAATGACTTATTTAAAGTATTATGATTATAATAAATGCGGAACATTAGTTTACACAGAATGTTACATTAATTTATGTAATAATTGTAGGTAAACTTAACGTTAATTATTTCAATGTTGCTTGCTGTGCTTGTGCTTAACTAAGCTAACTAGTTAGCTTAGATAGCGAACCTAAATCCAAGTTAACATGAGACTTAGCTTAACATACAAGTAATTCACTCTGTTCTGACTCAGTCAAGTATCACAACTTTAAGTAATTGGATAAAGGTACAATATAGTACAGCATTAGTTAGTACTCAAGATCTAGCGCATTTTGTATCTATTTTCATTTAAAAAATAAAGATTTATTTAGTATATTACTCGTATATATAAAGTCATTCTTTTATATTATTTCTAGTAAAAATTCTTTTCATATATTTACTCATTAAAGGATAAAGACTAATTTAAATAAAATGACAATACAAATTTAATTAAGCTATTATATATAAAACTTCAATTTTTTTTTAAATGGTGCAATAAAAAGAAAATAAATAAGGCACTTTTACGAACTAAATATAAAATGGATGCAGAAAACTTTTTCATTAGGTATCTATCTATTTCATTTTAATTTCCATTAAAGATAATTATTAACACTAGGGTCGATCAGAATTGGCCCCATTATTTTGTAGAGGACCAGAGTCAATGTACGTACCTATTATTATTGTTTCTATGGTTAATATATGTGTACATATATGTATTTTATTAAATAAAAACTACTCCTATTTTTTTTTGTATTTATTAATTACAAGTTAAGACCGTTTATCATCAGATGTGTTGTATCCCTATTTACTACCTTTGTGGTGTAAGAAAAAGTATTTCTATTAGTTGTGTACCAACCATAGTATAAGTTTTCCTCAGTTTAGGATTAGGTGGCACTTTGTATTATGCGTAAAGGTATTTATTTCTTAACAATGAAATAATTCCAAGTAAATGGAAACCGGAAAATATACAATACGTCCCTATGTCATACTGCGGAATGTACCTACATGAATACGCAATATCTTATTTTCAATGGAAGCTTTTACTTTTTCTTATAGTATTTGGCATCACCCCAAATAAATACAAGGAATTGATCAAAATAAATTTTTGCAGATACGGACGAGAAGACGAGGAGGTTATGGGACTCAAATTTTGCAACGAAGCCATAATGAGCTTGGCACAAATATGGCCTATACATTGCAACCACGAACGAGAGCCTAACACCCCACTACAGGTAAGAAAAAGTTAACCTCTTACTAATATTATAAAACTGAAAGTGAGTTTGTTTGTTGGCAACCTTTGAGTACATTCGCGATTATCCAATTACTATTAATTTTAAATTCACAATCGGGACCCAATTGTAAATTTAAAATAAATGTGTAAACAACGCGAAAGTTTTATAACTCATCTCAAGCATTCACTCTAGTTTCAGTCTCTTAACATTTAAACTACCATAAAACCTATTTTAAATACACTATCGGAACACAATGTGATGAAAAATTGCAGTTAAATAGTAAATAGGTAGGTGCACAGTAATAAACTTATTATAGATACAAACTATTACAAAAAATGTTCACATTAAGAATATAATGGGTGGCCTTATCGTTAAAAGCGATCACTTTCAGGCATAAATAGTTTAATCGGAGGCACGAAGAAAATTGTGTTATTTTTAAATAGTACCTACATATCTCATTCTTATTGCAATTATTCATTACGTTAAGTCCCGATACACTAATTTAAAATATGTGTCAACAACGCTAAAGTTTAAAATTAACTACTATAAAACCTATCATGTGAACCTGTACGAAGTTTGAAAATCGAACGAAATGATAAAATATATTTTGTTATTTTGTTACTTTAAACGTAGCGTGAGAAAGCACTTAGTGAGCCCGCATAGTGCAACTAACTATTGAGAATTGAATATTCTCTTTTCAGTTGATCACATTCATGGACTTTACTATATACTATCCCTGCGTTAGTTCAGGAGTGTGGTCATATGTAGTATATAGGAAAAAATATTATTATTATTATTTATATGCTCTTGTACATTCACCTATAATGTATCCCTTAAAGGGATTACTTCCAGTCAACCTTATGAAGTATTTATGTTGTTAAGATAGTGTCGAGATTATATGTAAACATATAGCCGCGTGGTTTCGGCATAGAATGGGCTACAATATCCTTTTTCACGGGTGTCGTAAGAGGCGACTAAGGAGATTTAATAAACGAAGGAAGGACAGCAATATCCGTCTTAAAACATCATAAAAATCTAACTGCGGTTGCCAACTCGCCTGCCAAGCGTGGCAACTACTGGCAAAATCTTCCAAGTGACCGCTCATATGACGATAATAATATATATGATGGCGAGTTATAGTATTTTTTTTATACAACTTAGAATGGCAAATAAGCTGACGGCCCACCTGATGGAAAGTGGTAACCGTCGCCTATAGACATGAGCAATACCATGGACATAACAGAGTATACTGTTTCGCCCATAATACCCCCTTTTCGTTGCCATTCCTGAGGACTCAGGTGTTATCCTCTGTACCCTGTAAATTCATACCATATCCCACCCTTCAAACCGAAACACAGCCATGCAAACACAATTGCTTCACGGTAGAAACACTAATGGGACAGAGGTACCGAAGCAATTGACTTTTGTACAAAGTCTCCCTCTGGTAAATCTACCTATTTAATTGATGTATTTTACTGTTACAAAGCATGTTCTTACCTGTAGTTTCTTTTATCGTATTCCTTTTTCTATAATTACATGTTTATTTCAGGATGCTCTCATAAAGCGGTTGGGTGCGAACACATATCCTTTTCAATTGGAGCTGACTCCGCTCGCGCCACCTAGCGTCCAGCTGGTACCAGCTAAGCAGTACAACGGAGCACCCATTGGTACTTCATATGACGTTCGAGCTTTTGTTGGTAGGTAGCAGGCATATATTTAATAAAAACATTCTAAGTTACAAGTTAGTATATAGGTATTTATGACGTAACTAGACTAAATAAGCGTATAAGTATAGATTTTAATAAAAATAAGTCATCGAATTTAATCGTGACGAATAATATATGTTTAATATGAAACTAAACGTATTAAAACAAAAATAAACCCTAAAAAATAAATCATTCCAGACTTGACTAAAAAGTCACATAATTAATATATACAAAAAATTAAAGCATTTGAAAACCTTCTTTATATATGGTCCATGACAATTCCAAGAAATTCATAATGGGTGTAAGTTTAATAGGCACGTAATTTTTATTAGTGTTATAATTATTATAATAATATCTATTAATTTTATTTATTTATATTAGCTATCGTATAGTCTCGGCACAAATTGGGCCACTCCTTCTTTTCTCGCGAGTGTCGTAACCCTTTCAGACCTGAAAGATACGGGCGTGAGTTGTAACTTGAAAAAATTCTAAAACGGCGCGCAATTCATTTTTACGCACGAAGCTGATATAACATGATAGTGAGATTCTAAACCAGCCAATAAGAAATCATTTTAGCGGTTACGTAGTGCAATAGTCTCGTGCGTGCCGGCAAGATGGCTTGGCTCCAAAACACGAAAATATATTTAATCTAAAAGAAAAAAATCTTGGGTCTGAAAGGGATATGAGGCGACTAAGGGATCTTAATAATCAAGGGATGGGCAGAGCGTGTCTCTTAAAACATCACCAAAAGCCAACTGACTGCAAAATCCCGTTTGCAGAGAAGGTTGTATTCAGCAGTAGACAGTAGCTGATATGAAGTTGATGATGATGATGATTATATTGGATTTTCTCTTATAGATTCGAACTCTTTACCAGTTCTTATTCATTTGCATTGTTCACGATGGTGTATACAGTCTATTTATTTACAATATAATACCAGAGGAAGACTTTGTACAAAAGTCGATTGCTTGGATACCTCTGTCCCATTCGTGTTTCTATCGTGAATCAGTTGTGTTTGCATAGCTGTGTTTCGGTTTGAAGGATGGGATATAGCGTGAATTTAGTGGGTACAGAGGAATAACAACTGAGTCCTCAGGAATGGCAACGCATAGGGGGTATCATGGTCGAAACAGTATACTCTGTTATGTCCATGGTACTGGTCATGTCTATAGGCGACGATTACCACTTTCCATCAGGTGGGCTGTCAGCTTATTTGCCATTCTATGTTGTATAAAAAAATAATATGAAATAAATTATTGCATTTGGGTGTATGCCAAGAAATAAATGCAAATGCATCACCGATCACATAATGTCGCGGACTGCTGTTTAAATAGAAATACTATTTAGTTTGACAGTTAACCTTGTTTACATCAGTCGCCACTGCCAACAGATTTCTGGTCACATTCCAACTTCTTGGTAAGGAAGTATAGATTAAGTTACTACTTTGATTGCAGCAGAACGAGCTGACGAGAAGGTATCTCGACGGAATACTGTCCGTATGGGCATCCGAGTGCTCCAAGGTCCCGGTCGGCAGTTACCCCCCGCGTCACTGCCTCCCAACTCGTCGCATCGTATGTTCAGCGTTCTTACGAATCACAGGTATTTCCAATAATTCTTGGTTCTTTCTTCTTTTGACTGCTCGACTTTGTAACGTCTGTCGTGCCATTAGCGCTTGACTTGATAGTTTGTCTTACCACAAAAAAAATAAACTTATGATAGATAGGCGGTCAATTAAAAATGTAGCTAACGTCTAAAATAAAAAGCGACAAAAATAATAATAACATTTGTTATATTTTTTCTATATTTTTTCACACATAAAATTACAAAAAGTTAAATGATGTTTAGTAAAGCAGTGTTTATTTTTTTTTATAGTGACCTCCTTATTTATAAAAACTAAAACTTTCTACAAATCTATTTTAGCTATTACACTGTTTTATTACTTTTTTTTTTAAATTAAGAATGTAGTGCAAAAGAGACAAAACAGTTCAATAACTGAAATAGGTTTATGAAAAATTTGGCATTTCTATAAATAAGGGGTTTTTAATATGGTGATAATGGTCACCCCGCCTGCGCTAACGGTATACGTTGGCGGGGCACCAGTAACGAATGATAGACGAGGATGAAAAAGCAGGTCGGTTAGCCCATTGTGAATAACCACCATGAATAAACTTGGAACTGAACATTATAGTTTCTAGGCGGAACCACGAGGAGGTTGACCTGACTGGGTGTAAATAGTGGTGTAACAATTGTTAGCAATGGGGCTACTAATCCCCGTTACTAACAGTCCCTTCTCCCTCCTGAATAAGGGGATTAGACCGTATACTGTTTAGATGGTTGGTGGAATTTAATGGGTTTTTTTTTAAATATTTAAGACTGTGTCAGGTTATTTTAGAATATTGTATAGTTTTCTTTTATATTCTTTATTTTGTTAATGGAAAGAAAAAGCTTAAAAATGTAGTTTCTTTGTTGGACAAATCCGACAACAAAGAGATGTTACGATTATGAAATTATTTTATACAACTAGAGCGAATATTTTTTTCTGAATACAATTACGTTGTATTTAAGTATTATTTTTAAAACCTATGTACTTTTTTTAATGATATCTATTTGACAATGAAATTGTACACTTCATCAGGCGATAGTTTTATTTAATACATTACTTATCCAATTGTAATTATTTTAAAAAAGCCGGTCATGTATGAGTCGTACTCGAACAACGAGGGTTCCATATAAAATCATCAAGTTTTAAAATTTTCATTTTTGTGAAATAGTTACAATTTTACTATTTTCGAATTTTATCCCTTACGTGTACTACATGACATTGCTTCTTTACAAATTTCATAATGAAAAAAATTTTATTACTATTTCTAATATTCAATTTCATTTAATACTTTTTTTGTAAAAACATGCTTGGAAATGCAAGCATTATTTTAACAATCTTCTTCGAGATAAATCAAAATTGCCGTACTGGCCCGATACATGCGAGCAGTGGCCGGCAAAAGTTGTATGAAAATGCATATCTGTCATGTTTTGCGGCCAGATAAATTACTATGTAAACTCATATCTGTCCTGTAATTTAAAAATGGAATTACCTTTTACTTCGAAACGTGGCTACCAAGGAGGTAACTAATAAAAGGTTTTATTTAAATTTCGAACTGGCTTGCAAATAGAAAGCTGTTTATTGAAAAAAAAAACAAAGGAACATTATGGCGCGTGAAAAATTATTATTGTTCGTTATTCGTCATTGAACTTAAAAAGTAAAATTGCTGCTGAACATACACCTCCCCCATAAACTACTATAAAGAGTGGTCCTGAACCATCTGCGTCTACTGACTCCCTGCAATACATTGGAGAACGTCACTTCATCTAGTCGAGGGTTGTCCTACACTGCATTTATCGGTACCGGGTCGCCACTCAAGAACCTTTCTGCTCCATTGGTTGTTAGTTCTTATATACCTACGTATACAAGTATATATCGTAATCAAATGTGTTAGAATTTAATTATTATATAATTAATCTTTTTTAATCTTCCTTACTTGTATATAAATATATAAACTTTTAACATTTAAAACTCGAGAAATCTTATTCCTCTCTCGTTTTTTACATAATTATCTCCTTTTGAAAGTTACTTATAAATTTCGCCCTTTGCTAATTTGTCTTAGCGCGACCGTTTACTGCTGGAAACGACGTAATTTAAACACCGTTTATAAATGTAATATCAGCGTTTTACGGTATTTTTTTAGCTACTCTTACTAATATAATATAACTATAACGATACGACGTCTGTACATGGAAGATATATATATATATATAAGGAGTTTTGATTTAAAATGACGGATATAAAGCTAGTTGTATATACAATATAACCGTATGATTCCGTTTCACATAGAGTAGGCTTTCTTTCCCGTGGGTGTCGTAAGAGACGACTAAGGGAGAAGGAAGGTGGGCAGCAGCGTCCCTCTTAAAACATCTCTAAAGCCTAATTGCGGTTGCCAATCTGCCTGCCAAGCGTGGTAACTACTGGCAAACCCCCCCCTAGCCTACCCGGCTTATGTCCAGCAGTAGATATGTACACAAGTGTTTTAATATTATTTTCTAAAAAAATTTCGATATACAGCTCTCGACCTATTACCTTCAGGGAACTGTTGACATTGCCCAAAACTAACCATTGAAGCAAAATATGAAGTAGTCTTCATCTATTCGAGGTTCTGCAAATATACCGAATCTATATCGGGACAGGTCCCACAGTACCTGAAATGCGTTATTGTATTTCGCAAACAGAACATTCTGGGCACACTGTTTATTTATTGCTGACCTACAAGCGAAGTATAAAAAGACTTGCAAACATACCTTTGAAAGCTTCATATTCTTTGCGTAGTATAAACGGAATGTATGCAATCATCGTATATAAATCGCCATGTGGTCTCGGCATAGAATAGGCTACCCCTTCCTTTCCAGTAGGTTTCGTAAAAGGTAACAAAGGATGGGCGAGGGATAGGCAGCAGCATCCCTCTTAAAACATCTCTAAACGCCTAACTACGGTTGCCAATCCGCCTGCCAAGCGTGGCAACTACTGGCGAAACTCCTCAAGGGAGAGGTTTATGTTGAACAGTGGACAGTTAAGGGCTGATATAAAGATATGGAAATACATGCAAGTAACATTTTTTTGAATGGATTAAAGTGGAAATAAAACCCCGCCTGCTCTATCAAGATACGCTGGCGGGATACCAGTTATTGATGATAGATGAAGACGAAATCAGGTCAGTTAGCCGATCGTGAAGAATTTTCCAGGAACTAACTGCGATGGTTTCCAGGGGGAATCACACGATGTTTTAGCTGATAAGGTATATTGTTAGCATTAAGACTACTATATAGATAGATATATAATTTATTTGCATTACTTACAGCACATAAATAACAACAGACATACACAGTAAAAAAAATAAGAGAAAACATATACAAAAGAAGCAAAATATATAAAACAAGTAACAAATTTTCCTTTCATGCGTGTTCCATAGTAACACAAAATGATCACAACTCTTTTGCCCTTAAACAAAGTTAAGAAAGAGCAAAACACTGTTGTCTGTTGTGGTAAAGAGCCAGTCTTGAAATTCCTTTATAGAAATAATAAAAAAAAAGAAATATGAATAAAATACATTGTGTGTGTTCGTTACCTTTATTAAAAATCCCTTTTTCCTTTGCCAGCAGTATTATATGACCACTACCTTAAAGGAAAGAATGCATAGAATTATAATAACAATTGATAACGTGTAATTAATAAGGATAGAGTAGCTGTAATACAAAACAACTTATCCTCGGGAATGGTCCGCATGGCGGGTATCATGGGCGAAACAGTATTCTCTGTTATGTCCATGGTATTGCTCGTGTCTATAGGCGACGGTTACAATTTTTCATCAGGTGGGCCGTCAGCTTGTTTATTGTTCATGCAACTTAGAAGTAGCATAAAAAAAAAAACAAATAATAATGTACCGTAACACATAGAATATGTAATATTTAGCCAATCCGCAGGTACTATTTTTAATCTATGTAATCAATAGAATAAAAATGTCCACATACTAAGTTAGTAGTAATAAAATAGATAGGTCAAGTTTACACAGACCTTGTCAATTTAAAGTGAGTAATTGTTTATAATGAAATTAATAACTATGAAAATAGAACTAGAAAATTTCACATATGAATTATTAATAAAGTAGAGAGGTACTACACAGCTCTGAATAATTGAACAGACAGTGAATGTTTCATTCCATACGACAAACTACATATATAGGTCGTAAATTTTGTTCTGTGTGAGTAACAACTATAAGTAATAAAGTGTATGTGAGTACACTCTTGCATAATCCTTATTCCTATTAATATAAATGTGAAAGTAACAAACACACTTTGTTTGTTATCTGATAACCGCTTGGCGGCTCAACCAACCATCATAAAATTTGGTATTCAAGTATTACCTATTTTTTTAATGGATGACAAAGGAATGGTATCCCCGCCTGCGCTAACTGTTTATGCCCGCGTGGCATCAGTGAGTGAGATGTTAGGTAAAGTAGGTTAGGTAAACAAGTCAGTTAGCCCATCGTGATGAATACACCTGGAATTTAGCACGATGGTTTCCAGTAATATGGATAAAACCATATTACGAGCACCCCAAATAATAATTGAGATAGAGGTAGGAAGATGACGATAATGGTTTCCAGGGGGGATCACGTGGAGGTCGACCTGGTTGAGTATATTGCTAACAATAATGTCCTTAGTTATTATAATTACAGATGGGCAAAGCACCGGGTTTAAACCCGGTGCTTTGGTAAAAACCCAATAAACACCCATAAACTCCCATAATCACCCAAAAAAATAGGTTTTTACGTATTTTTTTGAAAATATGTAAGTAATACCAATAAATTATTTTTATAAATTGTATTGATCAATTCTACAATATTAAATAAAACGTTAACTAATAATATTTCAGGAAATTTTAAAAATCTATATATAATAAAATGAAAGTAATTAATTTTCAGTGTTTTCATGTTGCAGTTGATCAACATGTTGGCCTTTTGCTTCCCGTAGATACTTTAAAATTTCTTCAT